TTGTAAAAACAACAGAATTTTTTTTACAGTGTAGCTTTTCTGAAAATTACATCCTCTCTCCACGTCAGATCTCTTTTTATTTATTCTGATCGTCTAAAGTGAGGATCAGACAGCTCTCTGTTTGTGTGTAAGTGCCATTTATAGAGAAAAGGACAGACCGAGTGTAGCGTATATTGGAAAGGAGGTTACACCATTAAGACGACTGTTGACCCCAGGGCTTGGCATGTTCGTTTGTCCAGCTACTTGAGGTGTGTTTGGGTATGTGTCTTTCAATGTTTGCTCACCACCAGTCCTGTATCTGTGGGGCCATTACAGAGATTAGGCAGTGCTACTGTAACGGCTGCCTCCGTTTGTCAGCTCATATCCTCTGTCAAGATAAAACTAGTTAAACGAGAAGGAGCGAGCTTCATGAATGCAGTGGTTTCAGGGGCGAGGGAATACAGGAGGAATTAAAGGAAAAACACAGAGATGAGAAGAAAACTGACAAGCAGCGCAATAATATCAAGCACCGAATAGTTAAGATTAGCTGCTCCTTAAAGAAAACCCAAACAGTATATATTCAGGGATGAATATGATAAAATATTCAATAGTGGCTCAGACTGCTGTCGTCTGATGCTTCACTCTCTCCAACTAGGCCTCATTTGGCCCCTGTCACACTGCCGGTGTCCACCATGAGTGGGGTCAGGCACCTTGTGGGAACACGCAAAATACTTTGCAGCTCTGCAATGTTTCGTGGGCTTTTTCCACCATGTGAGCACAAATTGCGGGGACCGATATGCAGAAAGTAGAAAAACACGCAGACACATGCGGGCAGACATCCCCTCTCCAACCCCCCCTTTGGACATCTGATTAACAAATGAAAGGCCCTGGCCCATACCAGTGCACTTGCAGCAACGTCACCCCGAATCACATGGCTCCTCAGAACCAACTGACTCAACCGCTCATCGCTTCCGACAGGGCGGGGCTGCGAGGGACGACAAAGTGTGATGCCATAGTGAAGCACGAGAAGTTGGAGTGGATGGTTTTCTGAGGGGTTTGGGGGGGGGATCATTCTTGTGGTGCTACCTCTGGCACTTTTCTCTTTAGCATGCCCCCTTTTTTCATCCATGCGCACCATCTCCTTCCAACGTACACATGTGTAGGTTTGTTGTTCACCCAAACCTGATCAACAAATTTGCCTCCTTGCCCATAAATTAAAAAAAATATATATTTATATATTGATGCAGCTTCCAATCTAAAACTTCAAAACTCCATGTGTAAAGAAATTATGATGCCCTACATAATAAACCCTGCACTTCTTTATTATAAGCATAGCAAGAGCTGAAGTATGTTCTTTTTCCTTCAAGGCCCCTGTTGTAAGACAAGTCCGTGTGTGTGCGCGAGTTAAGAGTGCCGCAACGTGGCTCAGACACATTGAGCCTGCACACGAAGAGAGTTTAATTAGAGAAAACAGCGCTGTCAGATGCATTAGGCAGAGGTACACACTTTAGGGCATATGGTTTTAGTACTATACTGTTGGGTTGGAGAAAAGCGCACAAACATACCTCAAAGCTTCTAGCCATGCTAATGAAATCACTCCCTTTCTATCCCACTGAGAGCAAACACAAATGTTTACAGACATCACACAGTCTGTCTGCACTCCTGCACCACACTGGGCTGTCGTGAGAGTGGCAGAGCACTGTCAGTAGTGCAGGGTGTTTGTCTGAAGAAAAATTCTGTCGGCAAGAGACAAAAGGTGAGAACAGGCAGCAAGATGTCCCTCTCTAATAGTTTGTAATGTTTCTTTACAAGATTTAGTTTTACTTTCAGATTTATGTGTCAGGGGTTTGTGGATCTTTTGTTTTAATTGTGAGGTTTTTTTTTCTTTTGTAGGACCTTTTGTGGAAAAAAATAGAAACAATCCAGTATTAAGAGAATTATATCATCCAGTTTGTTAAGAAATGTTCAAAGGAGCACATTAAGATGCCTATTGAATGACTTGAATGCCCAGCGCACATGTTCCAACTTTTGTCACAATCCATAAATGTTTATATATTCCAGCTCTAACCTTGGCAGTGCTGTGCAAGATGAACTTAAAATTTTAGAATATATTGTGATATTTTTCAGCATTTATTATGACAATGATTAAAGTAACTATAAAATGCGTTTAAAACAAATTATCACCTGCTTTTTTCACAGACACTACAGATGTATTTCTGTAGTGCAACAGAAATATTGCACTACAAATAAAACTTATCCATTACCTCAACAATACAGTTATACTGCTTGACATCACACAATAAATACACATCATTTCATTTTCATATGTATTAATATGTGTTGGTGCTCTCAATGAAAAGTGGAAACTGCAGTTGTAATCCCAAAAATGCAGTTGATTTTTTGGGATTGCAAATATTTTTAATTAGTATTTGTCATTATGAGGATAAATCAGAGTTTTTATTAAGGCAGTGATAAACAATACACCCCTTCCCACAGCTGCTAAGATCTTTTTCTGTATCACATTGATTCATAATTATAACATAGCTAATGAAATTAATTTTCTCAAGAAAATATTTTTATCTTACTGTAAGATATAAACCCAAATGAGTTTTAGGTTTGCAATACTTATTTAAATCACCTTTTACATGTATTTTAATTCCATATTCCATATACTCAAAATAAGCAACAACAATTATATTTCCTTTGGAAAAGCAATAACATAAATTGAGCTACAGATAGTTAGCTTTGAAAATCAAAAGCATGGTTATATCTGAGTTAATCTAAAATCAAAGTATGCACTTACTATTACCTATTTTATGAAATTTTCCTTACTCAGCCAGGAGGGACAGTTTGGGCTTCTTCACCCACTGTAGCCAGGCACAAAACTATGCTACAAGCAAATTTGACCTTTAGTTTTCATCCACAAATATATTCCTCTCACCACCATGCACTTTGAAAAATACAGTGAAACTATAAAACGTAAATCTGAGCAGCTCCACATCCCTATTGGGAGATGAGTGACCATCCTTCCTTTAGAACTGAAAAGCAGCCCTCTCATTTGCGACAATTAGGCCATACAGAAACTGACAAATATTGCGCAACCCCCCACCCCCCACCACCTCTGTCCCTCTCCCAAGCAATATTGGCAGCGTTTGTCACATTTCATCCCCACTGTTCCGAATGTCTTGTGGGTCCCCAGAGGAGTCACATGTCATCAGAGAGCCTATTTAAGATGCCATGGATGCCCTGTTGTTGTGACATGTTTATAAATCGTAGGAGAGTAGCTAACTGCCCTTAAACAGGCTGACCTAATGTGAATGTCTTATCTAATGGACTCTCACTTGTAGACCAGAAAGGAAACAAATTCTGTTGAATTTAAATATCTACACGGTAAAATGAATCTGAGGTTTTAAAAGTGCAATAAAATGTGAAAATTTAACATTTTATTTAAGTAGGTTATAAAAATTAGAACCACGTTTTGTAAGTTTAACACCAAAAAATTGAAAAGAGTTCGTTAATTTCAAATAACTTTTTTCAAAAATAATAACAAACAAAAAACTAGCTTAATTCAAACTAAATAGAAAGATCATTTTGTTCATCTGTCGGTAGTGTTGCTAAACTAAACGTTTTAGATGGTATGTAAAACGTTTCCCTGACAGCAACAGGCAATATGTGTCATTTATTGGCAGTGACTGTGTAGATGATAAAATTCTCAGCATGCTAGCTAGTTTGATATTAGCGTTGTTGCTAATATGTCTAGAAATTAATATAAACCCAAATTCTTGAAACTTTCTTAGCCAAGATATAACTTAACATGGCAGTTAAGTTATATTTTACTCATATTATTACGTCAGCCTTATCGTTATCTGCTGGATGGTGAACGAGATGGCTAATGGTGGACTGAACCAACATCTACAGTTAAATTCTTGAATGAGAGCAAAAATAAAGTAGCTACTATCATTACTAATTAATTACTAATTTAACTGCTGTCAAATAAGTGTAACGTTTACATAAAAAAGGCTGCCTGATTAAAATTGTAATTTTTAAAGGACTAATATTTAACACCTTCGAAAATCTGTTTTACAGTGCATGTTATTTGATTTCACATAGTCTACACAATTATATATATATATATATATATATATATATATATATATATATTTATATATATATATATATATATATATATATATATATATATATATATATATATATATATATATATATGTGTGTGTGTGTGTGTGTGTGTGTGTGTATGTGTGTGTGCGTGCGTGCGTGCGCGTGTGCATTTTTTCCACTTTTGACTTGAAGTAAATCTGTGTCACACGGGTGGTGTAAAACAATACGTGCCGCGCTGTATCTCTAACAATGACGATTAATGTCTCAAAGATTTCTCTAAATCCACGCAACCTGCAAAGAGAAAAGTGTCTCTGCAACGTTCACTGAATTAACTCTCCCAAAGAGACAGGGTCGGAAATCGCGTTAATAGCTGTCCAGTGTGTAAGGGCCCGCCAAGCAAGTCTGCAATCACCCAAATACCCAGAGACAGGTCATGGGTAGCCCCGGGCGGCGCTTGCGCCCTTCCCCTCAGCGCCAACGACCCCACTGCAAGCCTAACAGGCCCCACCAGTCCCGCTGAGCTCGTTCAGACAGGCTCCTCATCCCGGATGCTAGTTGCCAATTTCTATCTAAAGCAGTTTTCAAAGAACCGTGCATTTGCAAAAAAACCTATACAAGTTTGTACATTTTAAATATTCAATGCGATATCTCAAATGTTCCTACGTTATGACATTTCCGAGCTTTATTTGACATCTTTAAATCTGTGAAATGATGACGCAAACCGGCCCCGAGCATAGATATGTTTTAATTATAAAGACATACTATAAACAATATATGAAATCCATGTTGTAACACAACCAGAATGCTTCTTCGGTTTATAGGCTGCAGTTATATAACCATTGTTATTATTATTATTATTGTTATTATTATTATAATAACCGGGCTTTGAAGATTATTCAAAGTTGTACAATACAATCATGTGAGATGTGCAATAAGTTGAAATAAAAACAAACACACTGTATCAGAAAATATAACATCAGATTGTTTTCATATAGTTAATTAGGATCAAATCTAAAGGTTGAAAATGGTCGCGTTTATTTTTTCTTGTAATTACTGAATGTTGCATAGATTGCAAATGATAACAGAAACTTCGCAGAATTTAAGTTCATATTTTGGATATGGCCTGTAGTTGATGTGAGACATGCAAGCCACAGTGACAGGAAGGCCCAAACAATTTAATTTCTACAGAGCATTTTCGAAGTATGATTACTTAACCATATCTTACCATTACGCATTAGACTAAAACCGTTTTAATTTCCACAGAATTATGTGTTAAATTAACTAGAGTGGGACAGAGACTGACATGGGCGCAGCACAGGTAAAAGTTCAGGAAAAAGAGCGTAAATCAAATCAAGGCTTGTCGTTACAGTGTTTGAAGAGAGTCGACGGTGCCCCGGAGTAAGTGGTGCACTTTTCGGCACAGGTGGCGAGCGCGGAGCCCGAGAAGGGGTAGACGGCTGCCTGTCCAAAGGGCGCCAGGGCGGTGGGGATCGGTGAGGTTATGGTCTGTCCCTGGTTCAGATACGCCACCAGCCGCCTCATCTCCTCCAGAGCCTGAGCCTGCATGAGGATGTAGTTCTTGGCCAAGAGGAGAGTGGCTATTTTGGAGAGTTTTCTCACCGAGGGGCTGTGGGCGTACGGGATGACGGCGCGCAGGCCGTCCAGCGCGTCGTTCAGGTCGTGCATCCTCCTCCTCTCCCGGGCGTTGATACTCAGCCGCAGGGACCGCTGCTCTTTGGACTTTTTGGCCAGGGGCCCGCCGGGCTTGTCGTCCCCAAACGAGGAGCCCCTCTTCCGGGACTCCAGCGAGTCAAAGCCGTCCTCGTCGTCGCTCGTGTGCTCCCCGCCGCTCTCGTTGGACTTCCCAGTCTGTCCGGAGAGGAAGTCGGCGGCCGGCGTGAGCGGGTACCTGCCGGGACTACCAGCACCGTGGCCAGCGCCAAACCCGAAGGCTGACTGCCCGTAGCGCTGCGTCAGGTCGAGAAGCGCGTCGTTGCTGATGGACTTGAGCAGATTCTCATCGTTGACATTCATTTTCTTTCTCTCTCACACACACTCTCTCTCTTCCAAAGCAGGTTTTGACCAGGAAAAAGTCTTCCTTGGACCGCTTTATCCAAACTTCTCTCTTGACGGCTGTGGCGCACTTTTGTCCAAGAGTTGCTGCGTTGTTCTCTGAGTTTTTCCTCACTCCTTTCCCCTCTCAGCGCTGTGTCTCTTCAGGAAGGAGGCTGTGAGTGTGAAGCTGAGCCTGTACATGCGTTCACCTCCTCTGTGCTCTGCGCTCCCCCCTTGTTGCGCGCATAGCCCACGTTTAACAACACTTCCCTAACTGCGCTCCTCTCGCCTTTGTAGCTGCAGTGGTCTTTCTTGCCCTCCCTCGCCTCTAGCAGATTGTGACTGGCACTCCGTCCCGCTCACAAGTTAGTACGAGCAGGCGGCCCGCCGGGATTAGCTGTCCGTCCAATCAGGGGGGCGTTTTAATTAACTCGGAAAGAGCGTGGGTCTGCTCCCAGTTTCCACTTTTAAAACAGAAACTGCAACCTGACGCGGCTACCAGGTCCGTCTGGCTGTTTTGTTTTACAGCTGCGTCTTAGTAATTTAGAATATCATTTCCAAGTTATTTTTTTTTAAACAGTTTATAAACGGGAACACGTACAATGTGTGGATCTCTAACACACATTGTGATATGTTTAAGGGTCTTTTTTCTGTTAATAAGGGTGATTACGACTTGCAGCTAATGCGAATCCAAGACTAAATTTCAGAAAAACAAAACATCGCACAAGACAAAATAAAAGCTGATCTTTAATAGAAAAAATGTCATGTTATGCCTCACACGATCATGGGGGAAACTAAAGATATCACATTTATCCTGCAGAACGCGTTTGACACACTCCACAAAGAGGGGAAGCAACACATGCTAAAGAAAGTAGCTTTTAACAGAGGGCTGTGTTCATGCATATTAGGTGAAAGTTGAGAGGAAGGAAGAAGTATGGTTGAAAAAGGTGCAAGATTATGAAGTAAAATCTGTTCAGGAATTTGTACATCAAATATATGCAGGACTTTGGCTATAATTTCTCCTGTTAAACTACTATCAAGTGATATCAGACATACATGGGGACAGGGAGAATAAGAAGTGATTTGATTTACTGATCTAAACTCTGATCTAATTTTTAAATCTAGCAACTGACATGATGAGACCTACAGCAGGAACAAGGGAAATGTATTATTATACAGCCGTAATGACGTAATAACAAAAAAAATGCCTCATGTTTTTCACAGCATCATAGTATTCACATTAATGAATAATGTTTTTATTAGAATATGTGTCACTGCAAACATTTTCTTTAAAATGTAAAAAAAGAAAGAAAGAAAGAAAGAAAGAAAGAAAGAAAGAAGGAAAGAAATTACTACCAATTTAATTTCAGGTCATTGTGAATTTTCTTCTAATATAAAACAAGTTTAACAGGAAAAAATTATCCCATTTGTAGGTTTGCTAAGTTTGTAATGATCAAAAAAGAAATATTTGCTGCGTTAGAGAAACAGGTTTCCTCCAGTCAAAGGTGTAATTTCAAAGTGAAACCAAGGACGCCACCTAGTGTCCCGGATGAAACGTTACATTTTGAGTCACATTTGCCTCTTTATCTGAATTGAAATCTATGTCGTCCATGTCGCTGCTGAATCTGGGAAGTCTGTAAAACTATGAAGTTTGATTTGTGTTGTGTCAAAGTCTGGATAAGTATGGGAAAAATTTACTTAGATCAATTCCCTTTTACGTTGACCAAATGTTTCATTTTGAGTCTTACAAGTACCTTAACACAACGAGGTGATGATGAAGGCTTTCCTTCAAAGTCAGCAACTTAATGCAATTGGCTTGGCTTCTGTGAATAACTAGCATGGAAAAAAAAATCAATGAAATTTAAATGTACAGTAATAAAATTAGGAGTATTTCAAAATGATTGGACTGAACTGAAATGAAGCTAAGTTTGGAACCAACTGGATTTTATATGATTTTGCTTTGGTTGTGATTATCTCCATTTGTTACTTTGTTGTGAAGTTTCCATGTGAAAAATAACCTGACCTGAACAGAAAGTGCTACTGTACAGCTGTCTTGGTTTTCCTTCTTGTATTATTTTTGAAAATGTTATTTATTAGTAAACAAGTTTGTATTGTGTGCATACAGTTATAAATATATTAGTCTCTCACATATTTTGCTATTCTACGTGTGACAGCAAGATCTTCAAGATTTAAAACACATTATTTAGCTCCTAAACGGAAAGAGTTTCAAAAGTAGAAGCAAAGAGTGACAGGTAATTGCTAATTACACCTGAAAATTAATTCTGACATCTAAGAAGTAAGGCCTCTCAGATCATGAACGTAAATAATATTTTATTTGAGTTCTAATTTAATCTTTTCTAGGATGAAAGTACAAATTGTTAAAACGGTTTCAACGGAAATTAGACTTTTATTTGCACTGACACGGAACAGTGAACTATTTTATTAGTTGTCTAGTCAGTTTTAAATGTATGATCCAGAGGCGCCACCTATTGGTAAAAAAGAGTAGAAAACTAAAGCATGGCAAGCAAATAGCGGTGTGGCTGCTTGAAACCAGTTTTGAGATCGTTTTTCTTGACCAATGACCAACCACATTCAAAGCCTCTATAAAGGTTCCAATTTTCCATCGATAAAATGAGTCAAAAATGACTCCAAGCTTCTGTTTTGTGTCTTGGCGGACACTCAGTGGCGACCGTCAAACTGTTTACCACCTTGCGTTTATTTTATTTCCTCCATTACACACATGCATCTTCAAAAAAACAAGGATTGGTTGTTTGGGTTCACTGTGGACTTCCTCTAATCCTGTCATTGTCTTCTCACTATCTGACTTTAAATTAAACTAAATGTTTTCTGTTTTAGGTCTTTTGTAATTACTAACATTATTTCTGTTTTCTATATCTTAGTGTAACAAGAGAGAGAGAAAAAAATGTGTTTTTTGAAAGCACTTTATTTAAATTCAGAAACAATATGATTACTATATGTTTAAATCATTTGAGAAAGCAAATATGATGATGCCTTCGCTTTGTAAGCTTTTCATCAACAACATTTGAGTTAAATGGAGGAACAACTGTGAATGCAAACCCTCAAACACAGCTTTTGTGTATGACATCATTGAAAGATATATGAGCAAAAATCAAGCAAGACATCTGGAAGAGAAATGGAGACCTCGAAAAGTCTGGTTCAGCTTGGGGTGCAATTTTCATATGTCTGAAGCTGCCATTTTCATCCATCGAAACAGTAAAAAGCAAGTGCAGCATGGGAATGTCCAGCTAGCTAATCCTTCATGAACTAGACAGATTCTGTGTTGTGTGACTCACAATGCATGTGGTGCATATCAACCCCAGAACAAAAGGTAAAAATGATGAGTCTTAACAGACAAGTAAGTCCTATGCAGACATTATGCAAAAGGCAACACAAAAAGTCATATTACAGTTTGCAAATATACTCAAAAAGCTCAAAGTGAACACAACACTCATGCCAGTAAGTGACGTTCTTACCTCTGCTCATTGTTCTTACTTTAAGAGAGATACAAGTGAAGTGGAAACAGGAAGGAAATGAGGGCAACAAAAGAAAGAAAGGCAGCAATAATATCTAAGACTAAGGCGAAAAGTGAAAGGAGGCAAAAGAAACAAGCAAACAAACAAGTAAATAAACAAAACATCCTGCATATGGTAATATTTCACAGTCAACTGAAAGCAGTCATCAAATTCTCCAGAATGATGGAACCTAAACTGAATGCATAAGATTTTAGAAGGTGAAATCACTGGATGTTTTTCTGCACAATATTTTTGAACCATGTCTTTTTGAAAGTCCATTTCTGTGACTGTCCAGAAGGTGGCAGAAAAGTTTAAGAATGAAAAATGTCTCTTCAATAAAATATTCAAGACGGATTATCTGTAATTGAGCCGCAGTTAGTTGCTTTGTACTTAATGTTAAAACTTTTTATACCTTTGAGTTAATAATATGTCACACAGTAAACACGATTCTCAAATTACATTCATGGAGAAAAAGTTATGAAACAAACTTTTATTTGACAAAAAAATTACTGCCTTACCAATATTTGACTAAAAATGTATCTAATGGGTGCAATAATGGATAAATGTGACTCCTTAGTCTGGTGAGTCTGGTACTGCTAGTGAACACACACATAAATCATTACACCCCCGCATCTCCATTAGCTGCTGATTTTCAAAGAATAGAAGAAACAGAAATGTGCAAACACACAATAACTAATAATAAATAATGCCTTTTGAGGCCCTGTTGCAGCTCTTTGTTGCCATGGCAGCTGCATTCATTGCCTCCATGCCATCCTTTATGTTGCACCACATTTGGCTCAGGTTCTGAGCTGCAGTAAGCCCAGACGTCCACCGGGTGGCAGGAAAGTATTTCAGATTGCTCTGAATTAGATTTTTTTTTTTTTTAAACAGGAATTATGCATGTGTGTACAAACACTGAAGAGATGCATGTGGCCATCTCCCACAACATACATGTGCTGTGTCACTTTTATCGACACTATTATATTTTTGCACAGTTTTTATCTACATTTCATGGCTTGTACCTTTAGTTTTAGCCAGAGCTGAAAGTTACAGTGAGTCTTTATCATCGCCATGTTGGTTATCTAAACCCCAGCAAGAGCCACACATAAGAGTTTTCTCTTCAGGCTGTCTCTCATATCCTAATTTTCAGTCCTGCTCCCTCTGTCTGATTCATTCCTCATTGCTGCATCTGTAACACACACACACATACACACACACATACACACACACACACGCACACACACAGATGCACACACATCAAAGCGCTGCTCTCAGTAAAGATGGAACAGGCTCCTTTGATCTCTCCCTGTCGACTCTGATTAATGTGTGGATTTACAGTGCAGACCTACAGGGACCTGGCAACCTTGACACCCCTGTGCTGCACTGGAATCTAGTTTTCTTTGCAAATAAGCGCAGCCCTTTATTTTATTCATTGCCCTCGTCATAAGAATTTAAGTGTAGGTTATCACAAAAGAGAACCAAACGTTCATATTCATTCAAATTAAAGTGTCCTATATTCAAGACAACGCTCTCGTCCCTTCACATGCAGAGAGATTTTCGCAAAGTTTCCGGTCTGTGCACCCACTTCGCTGAATCCAAACACTTTCATCTTATATGGGCAGGATGTTTGTTAGAAGAAGACGGCTGTGATCAGTGTTGAACTGTCAGTTTTAGCAGACAATTTCCATTGTGTGACATGCTGGAGTTTGGTGGGAGGATTAGTGATGACGGGGAAGTAAATGCTGGAAACAATTTTGTACAGAGCATCAAAAGACGTGTTTGCAGAGCTCACATTGTGCACTGTGCTTTATGCGTTGCCCACTGCACCCCTCGCCAGGAGCCAAATCAAAATAAGTCAACAACA